GTAAGCCACGTCCGAGAAAAGACTCAGCAATCCATTCGGGTTCCGTCCAAGCGATGTGAAAGAAGAAGCCGCGTAGTGGATCCCGTAACTCGTGAACACCACTAACAGGATGACACTGGGGCGCACGTTCCTTAGAAGACTTTTAGCGTTTCCTTTGCGGGGGGCAACAGAATTTGGGTCTGGCTTAAATATGACGATTCCGTGAATCTTTAGAGCTACAAGTAGTTCTTTAAACAACATCTCTAACCAGTTCTTGTCTTCTTGAAGATGCTCACGATTTGATTCGAAAGCCCTCGAGGTTGCTGCAGAAACGCGAATTACTCTTCTAAACCTATCTGGAGTGGACTTCTCCATCGTGTTCCTCACTGCTAGCGAACGGTCGTCGACTGGCACGTTTTAGGCAGAACTACACTTGCGTCCTTTCCAACAATTGCACCATAAGCAAATTCAAAACTACGAGATGAAAGCAAAATGCACAAGTGAGAGTCTCGCCTTCTCGTCCTCCCCTTGTATCTTTTCGGACAACATTAGTAACTCCTCGTCGCTAGGAGACAGAATTGTTCGTACAAAAGCAACATGTACATTTCCGCTTGTCCGAACGTCAGTGTACACTTCTGGGCGACCCAGTACAGAAATGATGCGACATCCGGACTAGCCTTACGAGAGGCTGCGATTCGCTTTCCGATATGACATGCTAAAGGCCAGCCCGGAAACAGAACGTAATTTATAAGCAAGAGAACAAGTCTGCATCCAGTTCATTTATGTTGTCTGCTTCGTTTATTAATTCATCATCTTGACAAGAAAAAAAACATACTAAGTTAAAAGGAAGGGATTTTCTTTTACTGCCCTTATCGACTATTGTGGCCTCGTCGCAATAGCCGACAAGCAAAAGGTGGGATTTTTAAGAAGTACAATAAGCATAATTTTGTTTATGCCAACACTGCTTCGCCTTTGAATAAAGAACGCTCTTTGAAACATGTATATACGAATAAATTCCTGCAGTCTTTGAGAAGTCTGCGTCTTTTTTCGATAGCAGCATACCCCATTTGAGCGTTCAAAATCCGCTTGCAAGACCAAGAGTTAGATCCCCAAAAACGTTAGTCGTTGATATTTCTTTAATCGGCTAGTCAATAAGAAGGATGATCGGTACCGTTCCAATGCAGCATCGCCTGCAAAAATCTGCCTAACACTTCGTCACTGAGATCGCGTGGCTTTATAGACATAATAGAAATTAAAGAAAGTTAAAAGATACGAAATACGTTTTATTTACGTAAATACAACACGAGCAAATAAAGTTTCCTAAAAGTGACAAGTCGTGGCAACGAATTTGGATATAAAGCAAACCCGGTGGTCTGTTAACATTTCTGCATAGGAGCGTGGTACCGATCGTCCTTCTCATTGGCTAAGCTGACTCAGTGGAGGCTCATCTAGTTGCCAATTTGTAGAAATAAATGTGAGATGGGAAGTAGAAGACAGGGTACACCTTTCCACACCTTTGCGTGTCTGTGTGTGTGTGGGGGGGGGGGGGGGGCGTGCGACTCAATTCCGGACTAGAATAAAGGTACGGCAACGCCGTCAATCTAGAAAGCTGTACTGTTTAAATGTGATGCATCACCTATTGGGAAGGAATATTACACGTCAAAATGTCCAACCCGACTAAATGTCCAACTGGTGAAAATGTGCAATATTGGACATTTCGTCTCGGTGGACATTCCATCTCGTTGGACATTTTGACCTGGTTGGACGAGGCACCCTAGGTTGGACATTTCGCCTCGTTGGACATTATGACTCGTAGTACATTTTGACCCGATTGGACATTTCTACTCGGTGGACCTTTTGACCCAACTGGACGCGCCCCGGAGTTTCGTTGAAACGGTAGTGATGTGACCCCATACGTAAATCTGACTAACTTTTGTTTTGAGAAGAATAAAAAAAAAAATGAATTCTAGTAGTAAAAAAAAACGTATGTAATGAACAATGCGGACGCTTAAAGTCCGCTAAAAGTTAATCCTAGCGTTATGAAGAAATTGCCATAATCCAGATTAGAGCTCTGGTTAAAAGGTTGGGGCGAGTTTTTAAAAGTTTAAATTAACAAATGAAACTTGTTCCCGTTAACGGAGGCTACTCATAATCGTACATTCGCGGGCTCTGTTGGCCACCATTTCTACACTCAAAATTTCCAAGCATTGCCTAAAATGAATTAGACTACGCTATGTTCGGAAAACTTGGGTGTCTTGCTCCAACCGATGGGGTCATATTCTGGCGGGATTAAGGCTCACCGCGATATGAAGGTTATTACGATGCTTCAAAGAGGGTTTCCTTCTCTAAGACTCTGCAAATTAGGTGACACCTAAGGTAACAATCACACATATCCGCAGCGAATGCGATATTGCTTTTTATTATTAGTATAAGGTGATCAAAACAAAGATAAAATAGCCCTAACTAAGACTTTAAATAAGCTATACTCCGCTTCTCCTTATGTTGTACCACAGCGAATGCTAGAAGCGCGAGCACATAGCGTTGGGAGCTGCCCTTAATGTACGAGAGCTTGTGCCGCCAAGATCTTCCCTAGAACAAGAAGTTCGGGCTTGTAGCCTTTCCTGATGTGCATCATGAGGTTAAATAGAGAATAGTTGGTTTATAACCAAAAGAAACAAAAAACGCAAAAAAAACACGAAAAAAAAAAAAAAAACGGCCGTGGTTTATTTATTGCACGTGCATTCGCCATCACTTTATTTTAGCCGTCCACCTCAAATCTTTCCCCGGACAGAACGAGCAGTGCGTACAAAAAAAAAACAAAAAAAAAAAAACAGCATGCGTCAGGTTTGGCACCACATACTTTGTTCGCTTTCATCCTAGCTTCCCTTCCTCGATAAAGCGGACAGATGACTGCACCCTCGTCAGAATTAAGGACCCTGCTGGTTACATGAGTCAGAAGGCCTGGGACAGGGGTCGGCGCATTCTGCGCCTCCCGCAGTTTTTCGCGCGTTACCATTTATACCTGTCTCAATCATACTTGATATAAGCAACATTAGACAGTGTTCCAAAAGCTTTTATTGCAGGTATTGTTAACCTAAACAGCACACCATATTTTACGCACTCAAAAATAGAGTCTCCTTTCCAAGCGCCGTTAGTTAGCTCAATGCGAGACTTGGAGCGCACCAATGCTGGCAACTCTGTCGACGCAATCACAGACATCAACAAACGTGGCAGATCGTGCGCAAACCAGGTCGAATCTTGTCGTACAGAGAAGCGCCTTTTGTGTTAAACGGGGTCACGGGTCGACCGGATCCACACTCGGGGACAGTGGGGCCACACATTTGAAACAAAATTGTGTCTCCACTGAAATTGCCCGACGAAAAAGCATACGGAATAATGTATCGCCTTTTGTATTAAACGGGGTGCCGCAAGGCACTACAGAGCGGAGTGGGCAGTCATTAAACACGGATTAAGCACCTTGACGCGGCCATTTTGACGTAGATGGACATTTCTTCTCGTTGGAAATTTTGACACCATTGGACATTTTTATTCGATGGACCTTTTGACCCGATTGGACATTTCGCCTCGATGAACATTTTGACTCGATGGAAGTTTTGACCCAATTGGACATTTCGTCTCGATGGATGTTTTGACTCGATGGAAGTTTTGACCAACTTGGACATTTCGTCTCGATGGAGGTTTTGACACAAGTGTCATGTGGCCTATTGGATATTTTGACTCAATGGACATTTTGTCTCGTTGAATATTTTGAACAAACACCGAGAAAAAATGCCAGCCAGCGTTCGGTGGAGACTGGTGCTCTAAGTGAATCAACGCGAGTTCCTGCGGCAGAACGCTGATCTAGGGCTCGCGTGCAATATGGGCACAGATCTGGCTCCCAGTTGGTAATGTACAAAAAGCAGCACTACGCCTTTCTATCTAGATTATCTTGGGTTGGGGCACCAACCCAAGATCAATAAAAAAAAGAGTAAAAAATAAAGAGAGCGTAATTTTAAGTCGTTGTTTGTTGACAGTTGCCGAATCCGGAGGGTAGGTGCGCAACAGCCTCTTGGTAACTCTTCGGGTACCGTGCAGTGGTTCCCGAACGTGTAGTGGTGCCCGAACAAAAGTCAAGTGGACAACCGCCCCCAGGAATGTGAGGAGTCGGAGGACTCTGGCAAACACGACGGTGGTGTCACATGCGGAGCGGTGCGTAAAACGAATGTCCCGCGTAGTAGCACATTCTACACCCGCGGCCTGTCAAGTGCGTCACGAGGCAGCATGCATGCCTCTCGCTGTACTATACTGCCGAGGCTTAGAATTGACCTAAACACCAAAGCTCTATGCCAACGTCCATTAGAGTTTGGGGTGGAAATATTACTGAAAAGAGGGATTTAGGAAAGTCCCAATCCCACTGATTACACATCACACAACATACACGGTCTGCACACATAATGGCACTTGGGACACACCTCAAGCACATTCCAAAAAGGTTTGCTTCGGACGTTTGTTTCTCGTTTGTTCGCAAACAGTTTTTGTGTGACCGTCGTGCAAGGAAGCGTGTTTGCCTGCAGATTGTCTTTTATTGAATATATTAAAGCAGGGTGAGCGCGGCTTATGTATGCGACATAAAAAACGAGCGTAAGGAAATGAGTTGCTCCGGTATGGCAAATCGTCCCAGCTAAACACAAATACAACCATGGTAGATTACTGGTGATGCGCTTCGTGAGCTATGCACTGCTTTGAACTCTTTTTGTGTATCCCGCAAGAATTCCAAAACATTCCTACGCTGCATTGCCACCGCTGCATCTGCTAACAAAAACATGTTTTTGTTTCGCTCGAGCATTACGAATGAGGCGGGGTTAGCTCTAGCGCTCAGACAGCGAGCACGTACCCGACGTCAGGCGCGAAAGAGGGAGTCAGCAGCAGGCGTCTCGTAAACAACGGCCGGGGGACGGGAACTCCTCGAGGGGCGCTCTTTGGACGGAAGCCGCCAGGACCGGAACATACGAAATTGGCAAGAAACGGAAGTGTGCGGCAGTCGTGGCAGGAAACGCGGACAGGGCTCTCGTCGGCAGCATCCGGCGAGTTGGCCGTAGCCTCGACGCGTTAGCCAAATGCAGTAGCCATGCATCCCGCGTCCAGCCTCTGCTGGGTCCTCCTCAACTCCTGCCTCTGGGCCACCCTTCTGCAGCCAGGTAGGCACGCCTGCGGCTTCCACCCCTAAGCTGCGGTCGCACTGCAGACGCTAGGAAGTTTTAGGGAACCGTTTTAGGGCATCGGATGCAGCACGATGGGCCTCCCGGTTTGAACTGCGCGAGAGTTCTTCGGAAGCGCATGCGCAGTTCGTACCCGAGGGCCCATCGTACCGTATCCGACGTGCAAAAACGGTTCCCTAGAACTCCCTACTGTCTGAGGAGTATTTACAGTTCTATCACATTTGTCACACAAAAACCGCCTGCAGACATATTCGAAGCATAACTCACATGCTTCGAACATGCTTAACCCTTGAGTTCAAGTCTTAACGTCCTAGTCTTAACGTTCCAGTCTTTCCTTTTTAAGATGTTTTTAGTGGTCAGGATTTGTGTCCAAACGAATAGTATTGAAAACGTGCGTAGCCTCAGAAAGTGCAGGATGTTGGAACGCTTCCATAGGCAGCTAAAATCAGCCATCGAAGAACATCGATGCACCACGTCTCCACGAAACTCAGTGTCTCGTAGCGCGCGTCACGAGACACTCAGATTCAAGGTTTCCTGGTGCATCGACGGTCTACGATGGCCGGCTTCTGCATTGAAACTAATAACCATTTGTAAATATTGTAAATACAAATTTAGTTACATAAACCAAGCTCGCTACAGTATGAAGAAAGGATCAATGCGCAGTTTTTTTTAAGTATTTAGTGGGAGCATGTACACACTCTTAGAAAAAAGGGTCAGTATAGTCCTCCCTAAAGGGAGGAACGCTCTTGACACATATGTTCCTTCAGAAAGGGAGAAACTTTCGTCCCTTAAGCAGGGGAGGAAAAGTTCCTCCGTCGACTGCATCTCATTATGGCGGCCACGAATCGAGCAAATCGAGCTCGGTAAGGCTTAACGAGAACACTAAGTCTATTGCACGAAGCGAGAGGAGCAGGAAATAAAAACGTAACACGAGCTTTCCGCGAACTGTATTTATTTACGAAGTTTCTTTACCCCTGCAGGTAAAGAAACTTACGTTTCGAAAACATGCAGTCACTCAGTCTTCTCATCGTCAGCACTGCGATGTTCAACGGAGACAACCGGCACTCAGTTCGCGCACTTTATGTCCTACCTTTGCTATTCCTCGAGCCACAATTCCTTCGTCAACCGTTGCGTCAACCGCACATCACGGAGGAGTGAAAAACTTTCGCCCGCAAAACCAAAAGCCGCTCTCAAAAAAAAAGCAAATCCGAAGCAACCTCTTGGCTTATCTCAGCACGGTAACACGAAATTATGGCGTAGCCGCGTAGCGTAAAAGGATGTTAAATCGCTTGCCACCAGATGGCAGGGTCAAGCAGAGTAATCGCACGTAGCTAGGCTAGGTGGCGCTAGGTACCGCCCAATTCATGTTTTACAAAAAAATATTTTTATTTCCTTACGCCGCAATTGCGTTTCGTGTCCTACGGAATCTCTAACACATGTAGACACGTTGCGCACACTACAAACATCAAGTCAACATATATTGAACGCATACACAGGCATCGCACATACAAACATCAATACAACAGCACACTATCCCGATCACTACTACCGGGCCCTGCGTTTCCGTCTTTTATAGTGGTCGTTTTGAACGTACGGAATTTTTCGGTGACTCCCTAAGCAAAAAAAAAAAATATTCCGAACATGTTCATTTTTTTCCAGCAATGTCATACATCTGGGGCTATTTTTAATGGCTCAAGGGATGAATCTCTTATTAAAAAGAAGACGCTCGATCATGCCATAATTATTTGAAAGCCAATAAATCGAGCCGCTCCAATGTGGTTCCAAGCCATGAGTTTGTTTTCCCGCACGGCCCTTCGTAGCCAGTATTTATATTGTGGTGTTCGTTTTTCTATTTGTGCTGTTCGCGCAAAGCTGCAACTGCCGTCTTGAATTAATCTCTCTAGAGCGGATATCCACTCAGCTGGAAGTGATGCTTTACGGGCACAGAAATCGCTTTTCGATCAACTTGAATGCAGTCAAAGCCGCGACTTGCGACAACTGTTAAGTGTACGGAGCTGCGCCGTTGCGAGCTCGAAAACTTCTAGCGCTCATCCCAGCGCGCCACTTAGAGGGCAGTTTCTACAGGAACCGTAATATATTTAAACAGTAAATTAAAGGATAGCGTTTTTTTTTTTTTTTTTTTTTATTTTGCCTGTCTTTTTTTTTTTTTATGCTAAACTTCCATCATAAATATACGTACTTTCCGTCATACTTTCGTAGTGTTGTCTTTTCCCCAGAGCGCAATCGCTCTCGGGGACCGAGTCACATTGGCCACTGTACGATAGGAGCTTACCGTTCAGACCAGCGTTCCAACATGACTATCCACACGTCGATCGACTGCACCTAATCCCTCAAGTGGCTTTAAACTCTTTAATGTAAAGCGGAATGTCATCCTGCGACACCCCGGCCCCTCCGATAACGGCCCGACCAGCGGCATCAATGCCCGACAGTTTACGTCATCTCATCTTGTTGTTACAGCACTGATACGCGAACACACGGTCACATCGGCGATAATTCCAGTCTTCTGTTCACAACCCACAACACTGCCATCACAATGTCGCTGACACGAAGAAATACAGAACCACGTTGACGATGTTGCTGACACGCAGAAGAATCACGTTGAACGCCGGTTGGCACTCGGCACGGGACGACGGAACCGAACTCAGCGCGGAAGGCACCCAGGCAGCCGGCAGGAAAACCTGCCTTCCTTGGACGCAGTTCCCGCGATTTCCATAACGTCGAAAACGTCGACACAGTTCCTCGTGGTTTCGCTGCTGTAGCAGGCTGTAGTTCCGCATGTGTCCCGCAAATTGGAGACGGCCGTCTTACCCAGTGTATGTAGCGCTGCTGGCACTGCTCCGGAACTTCGCTGTTTCTAGCGGCTTCGTTAGCTCGTTTGATAAAATTAGTGGTAAAAACGTCAATGCAACCGAAATGTTCTGCACGTTTGGACTAGAAGACGGAATTACAGGCGGCCTTCGGTGCCGCTGAAGCTCAATCAACTCAACATTAATTTATTAAACAACGTGCGCGATGTGCTTGAAAAACGAAACCGAAAGAAGATGGGTCGGGAGGGCGAAAGCTTTCTCCGGTCTGCCTGGAGGAGGAAAACGTCTCGGAGAATAATAAGGACTTTAATTTTCCTTTCATCGGTCTGGGTTTGTTTATATGTGTTTAGGTAAACAAAAATAAAATAAAAAACTTTACAAAAAAAACCAAAAAAAAAAAACACTTTTCTGGGGATCGAACCGTTGACCACTTGGTCAGTAGCGCGATGTTCTACCCCTGCGCCAACTGAACAAGGAGGAACTCGCCCTCCTCCTTTCATCTGAACTGCCGTTCCTCCCTTCTCTGGGCAACTTGTCCGCAGCAAGGAGGAACAGTCGCTTTTGCTACCTTTCTCCTCCTTTTTTTCTTAGAGTGCAGTGCTTCCAGGCTGCTCCGGTTTAAAAACATCTAATGGAAACATTGAAGGCGAGCAGTCGTCAGATTTCTTCCATTCGGTTTGGTTTTGTCGTGTCGGCTTCCGCGACATTTTGGTGGTTTAAAATGCAGAGCCGGAGGTACTAAGCTTTTCCGTCGGATAGTAAACTTTCCTTCTCTGAATTCAAATCTGAGAAGCGTTAAAAGGCCGACGCTTCGATTGTCACTACCGCGAGAGCAGCCAACACGCGAAGGGACCATCTCGCGCGAATCACGTGCGCATAGCGTTTAATTTCAAAACTACAAATGGCCACAGAAAACCAAAGCATGGCATAAATATAACGCTTATAGTTTGCCAAAAAAGAAAAAAAAACACAACAACAGCAAATAGCGGTACCTCTCGGGGTGGCGCGTGGTTTCGCGGTCAGACGGGAAACTTCAAACGTGTAATCGCCGCCTTACATGTAGAGCGACTACCATCAGGGTTTAAGCCGTGTCCGGAAATTATTCTGTCCTCAAGGCTGCAACAAATGCCAGGCCTTTTGTATGATGTATAGGCAGTGTGACCCCGACTTGAAGCCACTCGGGTGGCTGTGTGTTTTCCAAGAAACCCTTTGGCCCCCGTGAAAGCTGAGCACCAATCACGTTTAGCTGCTGTAGTCCCCGACCAGCACCTCCTAGAGAGCTTTCAAGCCTGCGCGTGACGTGACATGACGTTACGTCCGGGAGGCCTGCACGGGTGCCGATTGGATGCGAGTGTCGCGTCAGCGTTCGCGTGAATCTATGAGAGGAAACGAGTCCCACGCGAACGCTGACGCGGCACTCGCATCCAATCGGCACCCGTACCAACCTCCCGGATGTGACGTCATATCACGTGACGCGCAGGCTTGAAAGCTGTCTAGGAAGGGCTGCCCCATGACATTGCCATGGCATTAGTTTTTTCCTCAGTGCCAGGGATGGGTTGTCTCTGAGCTTCTGCTCAGTGTCAACGCGCCCTTGTGCTCCTTGTTCAGGAATCTCGACGTGCTCTGCACTTAACGTGCGACTTAGAGAAGAGTAGTATTTGGGTCAGAAACCGACCTTGCAGACGTTTTGCTTCTTTAATCAGTGTGACAAAATGTGTGCATCGGTAAAAAAATTCTGTCCGGCCAAGCAAAAAAAAAAAAAAAAAGTAAGGGCACGCAGTAAGTACTTTCAGGGCGTACGTTTTTGTACGATCGCTTTGTTGCATGAATTCGCCGAGGAAACCAGAAACCATGGACAAAAATAAGCATGTATCTTCATGTGCTACCGATATTAGGTTTTTCAATGAGAATTAATCTTGGAAACGGAAATAGATTAAAAAGCGTATAATTCAGGCTGCAAAATTACTTCGAATAAGGAGAACCCCAAGTAAGCACGTGCGACGAAACTACTGCCAAGCATTAAAACTACTTTTGTATAGAACATAACCAAGAAGATATGCGAGAAAGACGGTATAAAGCAAATCTTATACCCGTGCCACACGGGTAACTCAAATGCCATATACAACGAAGGACATTTGAACGATCGGCCAATCAGCGCGCGACACCCCGAGCGGGGGGCGTTCCACGCGCGACAGATCGCGAGCCGATTCGTCGATCACACGAATGTCATTCGTTGCAAATGGCATTCGGGTGGCCCGTGTGGCACGGGTATTAGACGCAATGCTTATAACATCAAAACGTCGGTGGCACGCGAACTCTGTGCAACCTTAGAGTATCCTCCAAAGAAAATACGGTACCGAGCTCAAGATATAGGATAAAGCAGAAGACCATGATGTCAGTGGCTCCTCCTCAATACGTATTTTGAATATTTGATTTACATATAATCCAACGCGCTGTTTGCATACGACCCCGCGCTGTTTGCATACGACACAAGGCAAGCGGACAGTTCCTGCACGAGGTGTGGGCACCGCGCCTGCGCAGAAACCAGATTAAAGCGTCTGCGGATTCACCGCAAAGACGTGGCGGAATAGCTGCGTGTTGGTCTATAGTTGTCTGCTAATGTCTAACGGAAGAACACTGTTTCGATGTAATAAAAGCAATACTACTTTGAAGCTAAAGAATAGGACTGCAAAAGCTAATTTTCCTGCTTTTTGAAACTTCCTTTTCTTTTCTTTGAGTTTTGAAGTAACGAGAATATCCCATATAGGGAAGTGGCAAATTCACTCGCTAACCTCAATCGAAACAATAATAATTTAAAAAAAAATGACGCGATTGAATCCCATAACGCACCCTGAGTGCAGCAATTGCAGACATTGACCTCTACCTAGCATTATTCATGAATGTGAAAAAAACGGGTTTTGATAGCTATAAAGGTTCGCGAGACAAACCATATTTTTTACTTTTGTTTTCCCGTTTTTTTAGAGCGAGGTATCAAAGCACTAAGCTCGAAATGTCTCACCGCTTCCCGTCGCAGTGTCGCTGCTATTGCGAGTTCACTGTGGAGCCGCTATGTTTTGCACGGCCAAGCTGCAGCCCCCTGTCCTGGGTCGGACCCCGGCTTCAGAAATATCCTAGACACGCGTCACATGCGTCATGACCACGTTGACTTCGCGCAGTTCCTGTTGGCAAGTTGAGAAATGAAGTGATAGCGGTTCTTCCTTTTTTGAACGATACATCTGTCTGATGTCAGCCGGAAATAGGAAAAAAGTTATCTGTGGAGCGACGGAAAAACACACAATCTAATTAGGGGCTATTTTTCTTCGTTAACTAAAAAATGTTATATGTAGTTTTACACTTTTTTAAATACATTTAAGAAAAAGTGCGATAATACTTCCTTACTCTTTTTATATAGTTTGTGTATTTTGAAAGCGCGAAATTGAATCTAGAACGGAAACACTCAATACTCGGTGACATTATGTCGGAAAAAAACCTCCCAACATCCTTCGAGTGGCATGGCGACGTCTAGTTCGGAGTCAGTTTCTTCACGGCTTGGAGCAACCGCGTGTCTTAGCGAAACGTCGGTTGCACTCTGATGTTTTCTGCAAACTTGTTTTCAAGTGCTTGGCAGATTAGCGAGATACAATGTTGCAGATTTACAGTTTTGAAAAAACAATGCATGCCTGATCGGCAGCATTGAGGTTTTAAAATAATTTTGAAGGCCCCGGGACAGACTGCTGCTGCCGAGTGGTCTGACGGCGCCCGTGCTCAAAAGGGGTTTTGTATTTGATAATACAATCGTGACGTCGTTATAACATCAGTGTACACTAGTCCTGCGGCCCCCTGCCTGATGTTGAGTTTCAAGCTTTTCCGATGCCAGTGCCGCTCATAAACGACTGATTGTTTAGCCAACGTCACACCGGTTAGACATCAAACAACAAAACTGTCTGCAGACATGTTGTACGAAGCAAACATGCATCGGACATGATTAAGGCGCAGATAAGTCTGAAAAAATGTCTACAGCGAAAACCGTGTAATTTTGAAATACAATTCAAAAAATTCTCCTATTCAAACAAACACTTAGGAGGATCGGGCAAAAGGCCACTCATGTCGCCTGACTAGGTTCCGTCCCCCGTGGAGTTTAACAGCACAGCAGCGCAACGAAACTATCAAAATAAAAGCGTTACTACATATACTAACAGACATAAAACTTGTACTTAATAATTAACCAAATAGAACACCATATACAATACCACTTCTCACACCCCAGGGTTATTTCAATATTTACGCTAAAGTTAAGAAATATTCTTTTGAAATGAATTTAAATTTGCGAATTGTTTGCGAGCTACGAACCATTGACGAAATTTCTGGGTAAGTGTCTAGTAGCCGTGAAATTTGTTGAGACATTATTTGTGTTTCGCAATTTGTTAGTGTTCTTCGTTGGTGATGATGGGTGTGGCGGAATTAGTATATTGTTGTTCTCTTGGTATATTTGTAATGTATTCATTCCGGATTTGATTTGATTTTGTAGAATATGTAGATTGCAAATTTTTCCACGAGTGATTGTTCATTTGTTAAACGTGAATACTGCGTGAAGTAAGGGCGAGAATGTACGTAATATGAAACATTGGGGATAAATCGTACCGCTCCTTTCTGTAACACTTGAAGTTGATACTTTGAGGTCTTTGAGCGAGTACCACATACTAAACTGCAATAGGTTCAGCGAGACTGAACGAGAGAATGGTATAGCTGGTGTTTTAAACAAAAAGGGGGATATTTCGTATTCTATACGTAATTCCTATCGATCGAAAGATGGCGGGTCAAAGTTTATCAATATGATGCTAAAGTTAAGGCTTGGGCGAGTTGGTTCATACTTCGGATTTGCGTTCAATAAACTCAGTCGTAAGTCAGCGATGCGTCCGTGTTACTTATTTGTCTGGTCCTCGTCTTTTCGCGCTGTTTTTAACTCCGAAGTATCAATATGAGACGACCAATTTAAATTTTCTTTAAAATATACTCATAAAAACATGTAAGCCTTTACAGAACCAATCACATCGTTTCTAAATTGTAATCTAAGCATTCGGTCAATATTTTTAGTTTCCCCTAAATATTGCGCATTTTGTTTTTTGCAGTCTTTAATTCTAATTCATTACATGCTAACCAAGCACTTAGCTCTGCCATCCATTCATTAGCCAATACGCCAAGCTAATCTATGTTTGTACCGGAAAGATATGCATCAGTGTCACCTGCATAGAGTACGATGTCTGGAGTATGTGGTATGTGAACAATGGCATTAATATATATATAAAAAAATATTAGGGGCCCAAAGATTGGTCCCTGAGGTAGGCCGTAACGAACATGCCCGAAATCGGGGTTTTCCTTGTCGACAGTGGTATGTCGGGCACGATCTGATAAATAAATTTGAATGAGGTAAAAGGAAAGACCTCTTAAGCCATAAATGTACAACTTCTTCAAAATTATTTAATGTATGATAAAATCGAACGCTTTTTTAATATCTAAAACATTCGTATTGTGTAAATCTTGTTTTCAATGTTATTTTAACAAAATGTATCTTTAATACTTAGCAAAGAGTCCTAGGTTGAGTTTATTTCTGATCCGCACTATTGATCAACAATTAAATTATGTTTACTAAATGGGTGGAAGAGTCTGTAATTTATTATTATCTCAACAAATTTGCATGGTGTATGACGAACAGTGTGGCAAAGGCATGTACACACCATGGGTTTCTTACAAGTGGCAACATTTTTGCCAGCTGCCGAATGACCCTCTTGAGAAGGGAGAGCTCGGAGGGAGGTTGAATGCCTATGCGCAGTCCTCACGGCGAGGGTTTTTGGACTAAAAGGCTGGCGCAGCAAAATGAACTGGAAATCTTCATGATCTTCGCGCAAAAATGTCTTTTGTCATATATATATTGAGTCCCGTTATTTGTAAAAGACGACACAGTATCACTTTAACTGGCTTTATTTGTCCATTAAAGGACCGCAATCGATTTCATTTCGCGGCGCCTCCGCAAGGCAACGATTACGTAAAGGCTCATTGAACTCTTGCTCACATGACACCAGTATTTGTCCACTTATTCCCAACTATACTTGTGCTTTACCATTCAATACTACTTTAAAACATTTTAATTTGGTTTTGAAACCAAGACTATGAACACTGACAAATATTTTAGTTTTCAAATGACGCTACGATTCTGTAAGAACGTTCATTTTAGGTGTCAATTATATGCTTTTGTCGCAAGATCGAAATTCACGTGGACGGGCATCTCGAACGTACGCATTCTTAAGAAATTTTTTAGTTGTAGATACCTGTAGTATATTTTTTTCTGCAATATTACGTCCTAGCTGACACAGAACAGGGGTCAAATTTTGATATTATCAAAGGTTCGATCAACCACGCCTAAGCATCGAATAAAAGACTGTGTTGGCTTTGCTGACGGTGATTTGGGCAGTGTAGAGTTTCCTTGTCGAACTCTGGCACCTGACTGAAACTAACAGCCGGATAGGAGGCTTACTTGGAGTGGTGTATTTGTTCATGCGTCTCGACAAACAGCGTGACTTGACTGCGCAGGTGTATGCGAGTCGTCGTGCGAACCTGAGGCGGCGGATCGGTGCTACGAGGACTTCTTGACCAGCTTCAGCGGGATCCTGCACCAGCAGTCGCGCCTGCCACCCGGGGCCCTGCACAACGCCCTCCAAGACTTGTGTGGGTAGGTGCGCGCTACAGCGACTCGAGCACGGATCTATTTTTGTCGTTCGATCGTCTGGTTCGTCTGAGTCTGGTTCGTCTGATGGAAGATCAAAAGCTGCAACGAAAGGAGTGGAGGTCATGATCATTGGAGGGGTAACGTTTTTTCGCTCACTCCACAATTGGATCGTAAAGCGCCCTGAAACGTAACTTCATTTTACTTTTTCGTACACATTGAAAATGTATGCTTGTTCCATATATAGCAGAACACGACATCCCTGCCGTCGTTTCCTCATTTGTTGGAACGCGTCTGGTACTTCTCAGTTAAGGCAAAACCACCTACTCTTTCACGTATTCCTTCTCCCCTTTCTCGATGTCTAAGTCCTCGTTCGTAAAGACCCGGTGTTTTACGGATAGTCGTAGAGAAGGCAAAGCAGCCATTGTTAGGATTAGCAGACGACGCCGGCGTTCCGTGCCCAGACGCCTGGCGCCACTGTCCCCCTCTGCGCGAGGAGCCGACGGATAAGTTGTGTTTCCGTCCTTGTACTTTTTTTACCAGTCTCGGGTTAACCAAAATGCTCAATATTCATCAGGTAGCCTGCACCCTAGCCATTTCTCCCTCGCTCGCAGTGATTGGCGGGAGGCAGTGAAGAGAGACAAGTACAAGTGTCCTTGGCGTCTGCCCACTACCCTACCAATCAGAGCTCCACGCTTTGTGAGCTGAGGGTACGGTGACATCTCGGTCACATGTCAGGGTCTGGAATTTCGGTGCCGAACGCCAACCACCGGCGTCGTCTGGTAATCTTAGCAATGTCTGGCTTATCTTTTTACCGATATTTGCAGTTCCATTTGTTCCTGACAAACGAGGACTTGGCCTTCAAAAGATTTTAGAAAGAATACATCAAAGAATACATTTTTTGGGGTCAAAAAACGAAGAAATAACGCAATCCGACCGACGAGAAACCAATGACTGTTCCTTGGACTCCGGACCAAGGAGCAACTGCGGGCGGAGATTCACGGCACGCGTGATAACGAGCTGTATAGGCCTCGTGGCACACCTGAGGTTAGGACAGCTATGAAACGTCGCTACACTCTAAGAAACCTCTCCGTGTCTACCTACCCGCAAAACACTCAAAGAGCCAATCTCTGCGATCTAGGAAATGAGCTAGCGAATGATGAGGCAGGGCATCTGTTCAGACCTCAATATTAAGTCAGCGCTGTGGCATTACGTAATGCAAGCATGACGCTTTGCGTTGCGTAATGCCACAGCGCAGACTTCATTTTGAGGTCTGATGAAATGTTGCGCCTCATCGTTCGCTAAGCTGATGCCGTAGATTGCAGAGATTGGCTCTTTGACTGTTCTGCGGGTAAGTAGACGCGCAGGCCTTTTTTTGAGTGTAAGTTTGCACGGCAAAGTCAGGAAGGTACGAAAGGAGTTCTATCTCTTACCCAAACGAGAGCTCCTCTCAAAGTCTAGGGAGGTTTTTGCTCGAGTTCTCTCTGCCGGACAAGACTTCTTCCATCCCTTTTCTTGCCAAAATAAGCGTCACAAGTGAGATGACAGCGGGGATGGAGACATCGAGTGAGCACAAACAGTATGGCTACCTTTGAGACATTAACGAGTATGCCTCGCAGGGGACTCTCCGAGCTGTCTCAGTGCCGCAAGGATATCGTGGACGGAGGCTGCAGCGTCGATGAAGGCAGGCAGCGCTTCGACCGCTGGGAGGCCGCCTTCAAGGCGGTCGAGGAACGGGCGTGCCTGGACGAGCGGCTCCTGACAGGTGAGACGAGGAAGTCGTAAAAACCGGCAAAATATTCGCACCCCATTAGAAGGAAATGTTTTTTTTCGAGGTTTAGCAGGCTTTTTGAAGCCAAGGCGAAGTGAGTATAGAATATAAAGGCAAGCCTACAACCGAGACAATGCTGTCTTGACTCGGATCAGGCTCGCAAACAAGCAAATATATTTCCAAGTTTCCCTAGAGCCTTCCTTCTTTGGTGTCGTAACTGTAAAAGCGGCCTACTAAACCCACCCGCACTTTCAGAAGTTCCTGCGTTAATTCATCGAAATTTGTGCTTATCAATCAGGGGTTGTTATCGTCATCCTTGTCAAGCTCGCTTCGCATTAGTTTCATTATCATCATAACCTTAAAATGCAGGCCGTTTACCGTGGTTGGTACTAGACTGGAGGCAGCTGCTCAAAAACGTTTGCTCTATTCAAGTTTAACTCCTGGTTAGCCAAGTGGTTAGCTCAGTTTGTAGAGCGCTCCACTGAAACTGGAGAGGTCCCTGGTTCGATGCCAGGACCAGGCGGATTTTTTCAGTCGCGCACCAGTCACCTAGTTATGTTTGGAGATTTGTGTTTGTCTTCTCCCCCTGGTTCCCTTTCTGCAGTCATTATTATTGTTATTGCAATTCGTCCTCTCCGTTTTCTACTGAGACCTCGTGGCTGCTGGCGCAGCTTGGAGCGCATTGTGCAATAGCTCACAACAAAGAAACTAAAAATGCTGTGCTCTATCCCCACAGCTGCCCGTTTTTAACTAGATTGAACTACTTAAAATGGGTTTCCTCTGACCACGTGCAAATGGAAACCCGTAGGTCACAGGATAATGTACTGAACCGCGCCATATAACGATCCCCGCGTTTCAACGAACTGTGGAACAAAACTAGAGAACCAACCGTAACGGCAATTTGTTCTGCTGCTTTTTTACTAACGGTTGTCGATTCAGCTCCACACAATTTTTTTATCAGTTGTTATACAACACAGCTCAAGTTGGGTTTGTACCGCTGCTCTTCCTGCAATCGATTGCATTATATTACACGTAAATTAAAAGGCTAGAAACTAGAAACAAACAAACCGAGCCGAATTAGGAAGAAAGAGATAAAAAAAAAAAACGTTTGCGCTGTATTTGTAGTTTTTTTTTCTTTTTTTTCTAAGGGTAAAACATTAAAACAATTTCCTGAATAAGTGTTAGCAATAAAAACAAAGATTTTTGTATATACTATAAATGACTAATGGTCAACAGTAAATCTTAGTGTGTCGTAGAGCGTTCACCTACAATTAATAATAAAACTCTAGTTTATAGATTTATCAGGCAGAGAGGCATGGGGGGGGGGGGGGGGGGGGACTAAAATCTGAACTCAAAGCATTTACAAGAACCCAATAACAAGGTTTCTCCGTTACATCCGGCTCCTGGTACAACCGAATGGAGCAAAGCTTTTACGTTTTTGTTTCCTCTGCCGTACAATAAAATATCGAAACCAGGCAGCGCAGTGTCCTCATAGCGCGCGTCCGACATTTCCAGATGCTCTTTCTTTTTTTTCCTTTCTTTATTTCTTTCTTTCCGGATTGACCGGGAGGTGGACAGAGACTAAAGGCGTGATGCCTGACGAGGTCTCTGTCCCCTTTACAGTTCTAACACAGCAGTGCGGGGTACATAGATTTTTGAACACGAAAATTAGAGAAAAGAACCTATAAAATTCTATACAACTCAGAAACAATAAAAAACAGGATCGATCAAATATCCCACGATAATTGTTTTCAGCAAAGAAGGATAAAAACAAATTGGTCAGAAACATGTTTTAACAATTCAAAAGTGAACTATGGACATGATTTAATAAGTACACAGTACACATATATCAGAACACAATGTCACTGCCCACCAGAAGTGTCTTTAGTCTTTTTTTGAATTGGAGTATATTGCAGTTAAAATCAATTAGATCTTCCGTATTATTCAAGATTTTGGCGACTTGGAAGCATGTCGTTTGTTTTCCGTAATTGGTACGTATTTTTGGAGGTCGTCTGATTCTATGTCTAAGGGTGTGATACGCTGTGTTTTCTGGCGGAATTGCGAAGAGTTTTTTTGTGTGTATTATCTGTAACAATTTAAAATAATAAATTTGATTGACTTTAAGTAGACCATATTTGCTGAAGAGCGGTTCAGTTGGGAGATGTTGAGGCTTACCTTTATAATTTTCAAATAGTCGCAGAATTTTTTTTTGTAAGATGATCAACCTATTATAATTGGTTGCCGATGTCGTGCCCCAGACTAAAATGCAATAACACAGTTTGGAGTAAAATAAAGCGTAATATATATTCTTTTTTAGCCACAAAGGTATGAGATTTCTTATTTTATAAATACATCCGATGGCTCGGGATAGCTCAGAGCTCAGTTTATTTATGTGCGTGTTCCAACTTAACTCCCGATTGAACCACACACCAAGAAAATTTTGTTCTGTAACCTCCTCTATAATTTCCTTTTCAAAATATATTGTCACCTTAGTGTTGTCGCACCTATTAACGGGAGTGAAAATTATATATCTTGTTTTTTTTACGTTTAGTTGTAATTTATTATTTTGAAGCCACACTGATAGATTGTCTAGATAATTATTTGTCATAGATTCTAAGGCCGCTTTAGAGGTTGAAGCGAAAAATGCGTTAGTGTCGTCTGCGTACATGACCAGCTCAAGGGATCCCAGAATATTTGTGATATCATTCACATAAAGAAGAAATAAGAGCGGGCCTAAAATAGACCCTTTCGGAACACCGTACTTTATTTTGAGTGAATTAGAATAATTGTTGTTAATATAAACATACTGCATGCGATTTTGGAGGTAGTCTTTTATTAAAGTCAGAGCAACCCCACGTATGCCGTACCTTTGAAGCTTAATTAGTAATATGTCATGTTGGATCGTATCGAAGGCCTTTCTAAAATCTAGGAATAAGCCTAAGGTGTATAATCTATTTTCAATATTGCTTATAATTTTATCCTTTACTTTTACAAGTGCCTGCTCTGCAGATTTAGATTTTTGAAAGCCGTATTGACATTTGTTTAATACATTGTGCCTGGAAAAAAAATTGTCTAATCTAGAATTTATAACCCCTTCAAATATTTTTGAAAAAATTGGCAAAACCGAGATCGGTCTATAATTCTGTAGAAGGTGTTCCCCGCCACCCTTATAGATTGGAGTAACTCTTGCAATTTTTAGTTCGTTAGGAAATATTCCGGTTTCTAGAGTAAGATTGATTACATGTGACAAGATATAAGATATTTGTTGGGAGACATATTTGACAGGCCTTGGCTTGAAGTCGTCTACGCCAGCTGCGGCGTTATTTTTAATTTTACTTATAAGCCCTTCTACTTCATATGGCGTAGTTGGAAATAGCATTATCGTGCTTGATAAGGAAGTCATTGCGTCTGTGATACAGCATTGCGAAGTGTCTTCGTGTTCTGGTGGTGAACCAACGTCAACAAAATGCATATTCATTAGATTTGCCATTTGCTGTCCACTCACGTTCCTGCCGTCGATAGTGACACTTTGCGTTCCCTGCACACGTTTTTTCCTATCAGTAATTTCGTTCACAGTATCCCATATCTTTCTTGGGTCATTGTATACCCTTGAAAATATATTTTGATAATATTCGGATTTGGCCTTTTTAAGGTCGGAGTTCAATTTATTTCTTGTTTTTTTTAAATTCGATGAGAAGATTTTGGTGCCTATATTTAATAAAATTATGGTACATCCTATCTTTTATCTTAATACGCCTGTATAAGTCATTTGTAATCCAAGGTTTTCGTACATGTTTTTGACGATTATTTACTTGAATAAGCGGAAAAGCGACGTCATAACAAAGCTTAAATTTGTTAGAAAAAAGTGCATACGCAAGGTTGGGGTCACGTTCCAAAAGGACGTTCTCCCAGTTTGTTTGCTCGAGCAGGACAAAAAACATTTGCAGTGATTCTTCATTTATGCGTCGGTAAGAGTAAGTATCGCGTTTCGGTGTATTTTTGCCACGATAGAAGGATGTCAGACAGAAAACTGGCATGTGGTCGCTTATATCTTGTGTAAATATGCCAGATGTGGCTTCCCTAGCGTTGAGATTAGTTATACATATATCTATTGAACTAGAAGTTTCTAAAGTCACTCGGGTGGGCAGTGTCACAGCGTTAGTACATCCCCAAGCAGATAAGAGATTATTCATCTCTATTACGTAACTATTACATTTTAGTAGGTCGATGTTTGTATCACCCATAACTAAAAATGGTTTGGAGGTCGATCCAAGAAAAGATAGTAAGTCTTCCAAAAAAATGAAAAAATCTTCCTTATTACCAGTATCGGCGGGCGTAGTCCGAACGTCGATCGGCCTTTCCTTTTTATTGTTCTCCGAGCGTCCGAAAGGGTCCAGGAGGCCTCAACCGGACACTCAGAAGAAGAAGAAAAGGGAGACGGGCGACGAGGCGGACTGCCTGAGCTCGGGAAGGGACTCGTCCCTGCCCGGTTCGATTCCGTCAACGACGTTAGCGCCTTCTCGCTCGGTCGCGTGACCAGCGGGGCTGCGGACGCGTGATCCAATTTAGCGGCGGACGCCGGGAAGGGCGCCTCTTCGCGTTGTCAGCCGAGGATCGTTCGGAGCGTACGCCTGGTGTCCGGGGCTGCGTGTATGCACGATGGGCCGAGGCCGGACAAAGGAAGCGAGCTGTCCGTGGACTCGAATTATGAGCTCCCAGATTTCCTGTGCAGAAGGCTCGCACAATGGTAATCTCGCAAGCCTAGCTCGACTTTATTTATTTATATATTTATTTATACACACCCTTCATGCCTCGGGGGCGTTATAGACCAACACGCGGCCCTGACGTCACGCAGCTGCGGTGGCGCTGTCGACGGCACTGCGCATGCGCAGACGCTTCACGCAATTTCGGTTTCTGCGCATGCGCAGTGCCCACACCTTGTGTGGGCAAACGCCGGCTTGTTTGTAAACAGCGTGTCATTTTGGGGGGCTAGTCAGAATTGCTTGGAGTCGGGTTGGTAACTATGGCGTCCGGGAGGTCATTCCAGTCCACAACTGCTTCAGGGATAAGCGAATCCTGGTGTGCTTGACTCGATGACTTGGGACGGGCGATCTTGCATGAATGGTCCAGTCTTGATGATATGTAGGTGAGCGGGTTTAGAAGAGGCATTTTCAAGAAAGGCGTGTAAAAGATTTCGTGAAGGGAAAGGGGGGAAAATCGACGAAGGGAGGAGAGTAAATGTTAAGGCGAGACTTTATTGATGATACACTTCAGGAGGGCCAATAGTCATTAAAAATGAAGTGAGTAGCAGGGTTTTGAACGGATTCCATGGAGTTCGTTAAATTTTCCGATGAGGATGCCAGATGGAGGACGCATATTCTAATTTAGGCCGGACGATAGTGGTGTGCAAAATACGTTTTAGGTTTTGAGGTGAGGATCTAAAGTTTCGGTTAATGTAGCCTAGAGAGCGGTTCGGAGAGGATATAATGGTTTTAATTAGAGTATACTATGATAGATTGAGTGTGAGATGTAAGCCTAAGTATTTTTGGGGTTAGTATAATCAATGAGGACGGAGTTCAAAAGTACAAGATAGGCAAATTGAGCGTATTTGCAATCTACTTTGAGCGAACTAACATTGTCTTTTTGCATTTTTGATGGCAATAAGACTTGTCGCGAAAAATTTGTCGCGCTACTGCTGACCGTAAATCCAGTGCCGACTTGTCGTTCGATCTTCCGGTGTGGAAGCCAGATATACTGGCATTGCGTGCTCGGGTGTTTCTTGTGTTCTGCAGAGCGGTTTAAAGTTCGCACTTGTATGCGGCATAGATTTCGTGTGATGTGATATTAAAAATGTGGATAATTTAAGACATTTTCCTTGTGTTCGTTTTTCCAGCTAATTTATAAGCGAAGTTTCCATCGACTACGTGCAAAAAAATAATGATCTTGGCGTTGTCGGTGGCATGTCGCGTCTCTGTTTGGCCCCAAATGCAGTGACGACTTCGGGGCACCGCAGCTCCGTCGAAACAGCTTCAAGCTTCGCCGCGAAGGACCGGATTAAACGTGGATTCAAAATTGGGTGCAAAAAAACTTCCAGTCTGCGAACTAAAAACAAACAAGAAGTTCCGCCCGGTTTAAAACCTGATATTCGTTCACTCTTCATTTCAGATCCGAACTGCAGCTAAAAATTCGCCTTCTGATTTTGATTTGACATTTTCGTAAGGGAGTGTAAAAGTAAGCGCCGCTATATTTTGTTTCATACGTGCGAGCGAAGCCCAAGCTTCAAGTTCAAATACTGAGTTGCCGAACAAGCGGAGCAGCACGTGAAGTGCACTTGTCATGCGTCCTTCGTAGCGTTTTTTTTTTTTTTCTAAACGCAGAAACAAATAAGAGCGACTGATTTTGTTACGACCAAGTCAACCCTTTACCTTGTATTGTTATTCATCTTTATATGGCCACACTGGGGGAGTATTGCAGAACCTAAACGGCCGCTGGGTTCTCGTCACTGCCAACGCAGGTTTTGAGTGGAATCGCTGAGACAGGGGAAGGGCAGTAAAAACGGCTCTTCACTGCCTCGGTATTTACGTGCGAAACGAAGTTGACCTTGACTTTGCACCGCTCTGCTTCGAACGTGTCCTACTGGGGGGCACTTTCTCTGCTCATGCAAAACACCAAAGTGCGCCGAACATTTTGGCTCTGCGTTGGCAAATGTGAACATCCCCAACCTAAAGTGAACATTTAGTCTCAAGTGGTCCTCAAGAAACGCATATATTGAAGCTTTTGACGCTGCTTCCGTAGTTTTTGCACAAAGCGTGAACTTGAATCTGACATCGACAATATGTTTGCACCTTCCTTCTGCTCCACAGACCTTGTGCGAGCGCATTCTTGCTGGAACCTGGACCTGTTCGGCTACTGCGTGCGTGCCAACACTTCCCTGTCGGCTGTCCGGGACCTGCTACACACAGAGTTCAGCCAAAGCGAGTGCAAGTGAGTTCAACAGCTAAGGAACTTTATCTCTGTACACTATATTTCATTTTAAGTTCATTTCTTAACATATCTAGTAACGAAATAGCCACGCAAAGCGAGGTTGAAGTGGCATGAATGGGGATTTTATTGGAAGGTGAATAAACTAGTCGATGAATAAATGACCGTCCTTATATTTATAAACTTTAAGGACCAAGTTCTAGGCTGTAGTATCTGAAGAACTCTTGTGAATGACATCTATAAATAAGTAGACGGGCGAAGAGGACTCATGCTTCATTGTGACAGCCGTGCACGTTTTGGGCTTGGGACTTCAACAGATTTGCTTCAGGCATTGCACCTCCTTCGCAGGAAGCTACAGGAAGCCCTGAATGGCTGCATTCACGCCGGGTACAGCGGCTGCGACCCCGAGAAGGTTGTCCGTGACGGCGGAAAGACCACGATGCACACGCTCCTGAACGTCTTCCTGGGAAAAACGGGTTGTCCGGTGCTCGCTAACACCGGATACACGGCAAGTCCGGCTCTCGCGTGGATGGTGGCCCTGACAACGACAGTCGTCCTTGTGCAGCGTCGAAGGCAGGGCAGACTCGTATAGGGTACACGGTGGTCACCGAAAAATTATCACCATTACCTTGGCGCGTGCAGTTTGAACATCCCTCCGAGGATACAATGATAAAATAATATTTCCTAAAAACTCTGGTCAGCGTCCTAGCGCCTTGGTTTAGGATATGCACGCCATCATTCGTTCTCAACCTTTTGCACTTTTTGCTGCAATAATATTTTTTTTTCTTTTTTAGTCTGATTGTAACTGGGAGAGTAAACCGATAGTCTTGGAGTACATTTTGAAATAAAAATGACTTTTGTTTGTTTGTTCACAGAAGAATTTTAAACCTCTGATCTTAACACACAAACCATTGTGACAACGGGTGTCTTAATTTCGCAGTTTAATACGTCGCAGCATGGTTGGCTAAATTTAGTTCGCAACAAGAACGTTCATGTCCCGGCCGGCTATTTTTACACCTTGGCGCTCTATGCTTATGTTTAAAATACAATGCAGAGGAAAATTTCTTCTGAAACAATTGCCATTCCTGCCTGGTATACTGCTCAACACCGTGAGGGCGAACAAAACATTGGTGGTTTTTGTTCTCCATTCAATACATACACAGTATTGATGGGCACAAAACTTTATCACCATGGTTACTGTCCCAAATGAGCACTTTCCGCCACCCTTAAAGTTTTATTTGCAGCTTTTTAATTTTAACAAAAAAAAAAGAAAACAAAAAAAAAGAGCTGGCGATAGCTTTTTCGCGTGAATAGTGTCGCGCTGTACACTCCCGCCGCTTGCTAGGCTTCCTCTGGAGTATAATCTAACTCGTAAATTCTTAGACTGTAAAACCGCGTGAGCCATCGCAGAAAAAATAAGTATAATTTGCTGCCAATTATAAGTTACAGCTCTAGGTATTTGATACACACATGCGGCGTGCATGTCATTTTGACCTATTCAACGCCCGATTTGATCAACCCGCGCTGCACAATCGCTCCCAGTGAGGTCAAAAAACACAACCAGTGCAATCAAAATAGTTTAGCAACTCACAATCCGGTCGGCCGGGTCCCGTTCTCTCGTCAGACTATATCTCAGCTCTTCCCTAACTTTTACTAGCTGTCCTCTCACTTAGGAGTTCCGACGTAAAACCTCGGTTGTAAGAGCTAATTAATCGACTCCGGAGTTGACTCCAACAGCTTCCCGCTCGCTTTCTCTTTAAACTTCCCGACACCTCGCTTCTTCCTTCTCTAAACAGCCCCCGAACCTTTTGCCTCCCACGCCCTCTCTCTCCTACCAAGGATCTCATGCCCTTATAAGGTATCTGGCGAGCCCCCAGAAGCACGGTGCCAGTCCGGCGAGAAATGCCGGCCCGGTACCGTGACGCGAACCTATCCACTGTAATGGTTGCACGCTGGTAGACATGCGGAACATAGCAGTCCCGGCACTGGAGGAGGGACGGAGTTCGAAGGGTTTCGCCTGGCGGAAAACGTCGACCTTGGCACTCGATGCTTGAAGAGTAAAATTGGTCTTTAAACCGGCGCAGAATGTGGGCCTCGGCACAGGAGCTGCGGGGAAAGGGGAATGGTGTATGTGTGTGTGCGTGGGGGGGGCTAAAGGTTTTCGGCCATATGTTTTTATGGGGCCGAAGGATCTTTGCACGAAGGACTTCCAGCTTGTCTTGTCGAGTCTTCAACTTGAACTCGTATTTCGCCTGTCCTGTCCGTCTTGTACTTGTCCCTGTCTTTCGTGCTAACTGTTTTTGAGATGTTTAAGCAACTAGGTCATAAACTTATTTCGTTATTATTGTGTTGTAGTGAATTACAAGGCAGGGAATAAAGACAGGAGCAGAACGTGGCAAATCGTAAGCACTAACTTGAGAGACCGAAAAACGGAGATTGATGAATGCAGACGATAGGTTTAGTGTGCTCGTTGTTCCGTGACGAGTTGAAGTTGTTTTTTTGCTCTTCAACTTTATTTATTTTCATACGATTCGCGACGATGGTGTTTCTGTGCAAAATAAAGCTAGAAAAAACAGTGCTGTGTCTGTTTACTATTCGTTTTTGTCCCACGTTTTTTGCCGTTTTTTCCCCCCATCCCACACGCACCAACTAGCCCAACTACATGCTTTCTTTCTTTCACTTGCTGCGCGTTCCTGTGTCGCTACCTCTCTGTTGATTCACACACACGCAAATATAAACTTTCTCGGCGACAGTGTAAGAAAGTAAAAATGTGTGCCACACTAGTTTTGTGTGTAACGGGTACACACAAGACTCCTCGGCCTGTGTTAGCTATTTGCCCTGTCTACTGCATCCAGCCAAAAACAAACTCAGGGCGTCGATTATCTCAACGACATCAGGCAAAAAGACCGAGTAGACAAAGCCCTAAAAGTTCGAGTCCCAGTCGGCAGGGCTGAAAGATGTCTACCACCATGCTTGCGACACCAAGCCCCAGATTTTCTATGCTCGCGTGTGTCCTTTTATGCCTAGGTAAAAATAGGGGAATTTCAGTTGCAGTGAACTGATTTGCAACGTTGCACGAGCAATGCATTCTGAGATTTTCGAGGTGAACTTCTCCGTTGTCTGCCATTACCGCCCCCCCCCCCCCCCCCCTTCTTCAGCCCTCTCACTCAGGTACTGATTTTGTCATAGCCTCCTTCTGTATGCTGATATCAGAATAGAGGAAGCTTGGCCAGAGGGTAGTTGAAAACTAAAAACAAAACTGGCCAAGTGCAAGCGAAGACAAAGAGGGTGGAGGACCTGCGCTCGCGCACAGAGAGCATGCTGCTCGCTCCCATTTTCATAGCTCTTCTTACTTCCATTTTAAATGCGAAGCAAAACCGTCCGCGAGAATAAGGTACCCAAAGCTATGCAATGCTGCTGTTGTTCCTGGGTCTTCAGTTCAACAGGGTGTGATAACCTCGAATATCCTTAACTTCCGGGTGACGCTAATTGTGTTGGCATTAGCGAACATATCAGTTAAATTTTAAGATCTTAAAAACTCCGAAGCAAAAATTGTACCAATTAAAAAAAAACAAAAAAAAAACGCTGCCCAAGTTTCGTGTGAACTAAAAGTGAACTGCTCACGAGCAGGACAGGAATCCTTACCGAGGCCTGCGCTGGCTCAGGAATTTTATTTCACTCTTTTTGCAGCGCGCCTTCAGTGTAAATGTTTGAATCAGGATTAAACTTGCCCGCGGATTTGATGACTAGGTTAGTAATTGAGTTCCCCGGTAAAATAAACTAAAAGAAGCGGTACAGGTTAGACCGGAAAGTAATCTATTATCTTCATTAAGTAAATTAATGTCAGGTTATAAGAATAAAAGTGAATAACACATAAACGCGGAAGCATTATATTATGACAGAATCTAAACACAGCAGCTCAAAAATTATTTATAATTCTCGTAAAAAAATAAAAAAAAAGGTTTTTGACGTGGACTAAATAAGTGACAACTGTAGATGTCGAGCTGCAACGGCGTCGAGAACGACGAAGTCAGCGAGCACGAGGACGGAGCGCGCTGAAAACAGAACGCCACGGGCAAGGACGTGTAAATACTTTGGACGCGAGACACGGGACACGGAGACTGTACTGTCCGGCGGTTCCACCGAGCGATGTCTCGTACGGTTTTCAAATCTTAACACACACACACAGACACGCACACACACACACACACACACAGACACACCCAGAGTCATAAGCTCTGGGTAGCACGGCTCTTCATAATACGGCCCAACAAAGTCGGTGCGCGTGGTTTCTAGTCTTCGGCGTGTGAGCCCGTATTTAATTACCTCAGCCCATTATGCGTTTCAAGCCCCTACGCCCTATACAATATTGCCGCATGCCTCAAGTTTGTGTGGCTCAGTTGGCTGCATGCCCAGCGTAATACTTCTCCCGCTCGGCGTCACGACCGGTCCCCGCTTACCGCGGTTTCTATTTAGGTCTTTCTAGAACAACTGACCAGGAATGATAGTGGTCTCCGCCTTAGAGTTTCTAGACTACCGAAAAGCTGGAAAAAGCATCGGCCTGCCAGGCGAAGTTGTAAGCTTCCCTTTTTTTATTTTACGTCGCAGAAAGTAGGCAATATAATAAAACGTTATTACAACCACCAATCACTAAATCACGCAAGATATTTTCTGCGAAAATTTAGCGCCAAAGTTTTTCTGCCAAACGTTATAGCATCATACAAAGTCATAAACATCACATGAAGTCATGACGTCATGCGACACTTTAATGTCTCGGGACACCACGACGTCAAATGACGCCATGACGTAACGTGACGCCGTAACGTACTTGACGCTGTGCCGCCACGTGCCACGGCAATTCTACTTGAAACGCACCCGATAAACCGCTGCGCCGACGACCCATACGCAATTGAAGTTGGCTTCCCCCCATTGAATATCGTGCTGGAAGGGTGCACCCTCTTCAGGGGCACGTGGGAAGGGACTTTTTCCGCGTGCCTCGGGAGCGAATTGTGGTGGAAGTCCGTGGAAGTAACTCGGGCATTCGATTGTCAAGATATAAAAACTATGCCGCGAAAATTCATTTTGGGTATCTCGTTATAGAAATGGAGCGACCATAAGTAACGATTTACTGAAAAGCCTCAACCAATGCTTCCTTTCAGACATTTCTGACTTTCTATTTTGCAAAGTCTCGCTGCTCTAGGTAAGTGTCTACTCAGTCCCGAAATGCTTCTACTCCATGACAGACGTTAAACAACCCGTGCCAACTGTCACCTTGCACCGAACAAGCTGACCCTCTTGTTCTGTGCAAGTACTTCTAAATATCGGGGAAGGTTGACCTCTCGCTCTTCAAACATCCACAACGTCCGATTTGCTTTGTTCGGTGTCTTGCATGAAGCACGTCGTTGACTAACTGTTTAAAATGTTTTCAGAACCGACGGTGTTTCGAATACTCTATAAATAAAATGTACTGAGGGGTTTGCTACACTGTTGTTTCCTCGTTTGTTCGTTGGAACTTAGAACATTGCTGTCTATGACCGGTCAATTTAGTGGGCGGCCAAAGCTGCTTCCACTGAGGTAACAGCAAAGAACTCGTCAGCACCTTAATACTGGGGAGACCTTTCTGCGGTTTTGAAACGAATAAATTCTCTAAAACACGGCGGACATGCGAAACCTCTTAATTTCAATTTTTTTCAAGTTTCATAAAAGCTTAATTTATATATATATATATGCTTTGAGTCCAGGCTAGCTGGCGTCTTTCTCCTTTTTGTTTTTAATCTTCACCTTCTGTCTGAGGGTTTAAGATTGTGCACATTTAATTAACTTGCTCTTAACGTATTCTTGAGCAGGGATCTAATTAATTCGCAAAGTCAGTCCACTAAC